GTTAATTTGAAATTAGCCCATTCCGAGTAGATTTCTCTTATTCTTTTTATCAGCTCATATACCACACAGTGCTGCTACTGCCTTCTCGGTGATCGGAGGGGGGTTAATTTCAAATCCAACAGACATTAACGGCTTTAGTATAAAAAAACACACAGATTTGTTCTTTCTTTCTGACCGGAAGACGTCAAGGTAGTAAAAAATGGCGAAAAACGTTGTCATTAAAAGCTTCTACACTTTATCTCAATTCTCTATTTTAGTTCGGATACTGTTCTACATATTGCTAACGTGAATAAATACATGCACAAACTGGGATAGGCGGTTACAAGAGGAGGACAACAACACACAGAAAAGCTGACTGCCTGCCTTATGTGAAGGGGTTATCAGAGAAAATACAAAGGATCTGCAGTCCATATAACATCAGGACAACCTTCAAAAGCTGGACGCCACTTCGCAGATATCTCTCCCGGGTAAGACATCCCATAGAGGAGAACATGACTAAAGACTGCGTGTACGTTATCCCGTGCAGCTGTGGAAAGAAATATAAAGGAGAGACAGGCCGCCCCCTTAAGGTAAGGCTTCAAGAACACCAGAAAGCTGTAACACAAGGAGAAGTGGAAAAATCAGGCGTGGCTGACCATATATGGAGAGAGAAGGGAGCACCACCCTCTGTGTGATCAGGTTGAGATCATAGACAAGGAACACCATTGGAAAATTCATAAATCAGCACATATGCTAGTCCACAAAAATCTCCTGAACAGACCAAGCATAGAAATGAATACAATATGGGAACCAGTAATAAGGAGTGCTAGAGAAAAGCGATAATAACAACAAAAAGTTGCAATATGACCTCTGGTAAAAACATACAATGTTAACAGCAAAAAATTGCAATATGAGCACTGGTAAAAATGGTAGCTGAAGACATTAGGCTTATAATACCCAGAAATTCATACACAGATGTCCTCAAGGTTACATGGCACTGTGGATAAAGACGAAACTTTGTAATAAATATGGCGACAAAGATGAGGACAATAGTTCGAATAATGTATATAATGTACATAATACCTCAGAAATGTAGACAGATAATGCACAAATATGTATGTATGTATTTCTGCATCCTTCTAACGTGAATAAATACATCCACAAATGTCTATGTCTTTCTACACCCTACCAACAACTTCCACAATTCATTGAACTGGAGAAGCAATAAATCTTCAGACAACACAGAAGAATACTGAGAATGCCATGAATTGAACATTTGAAAAATCAGGAAGTTTTAAGAAAAATAGGAACTACGTGGAAACTAATACTTACAATCCGAAAAGGTCTTAATCAGGAAAGATATAGAAAGGATTGTCTAAATAATTTAATACTTCCATGACATATTAAAAGTAACAGCAGCAGCTTAAAACAGGGAGTAAGCTACTTAATAAATTTGAGTTAAATGAAGAAGAAAGAGAAATGTTAAAAGGTCAATGCTTATTTAGAGCAACAAACGCCATGATCTCTCATTTTCTGAAAGGACAGTGTATAGAAAGCAATATTTTCAACTGGAATTGTTCAAAGAATTTTTACATATCACAAACTTTTTTGTAATCATCACGAAGTCACTGGCGTTGAGTCGTTCCTAAGCACTCCATGAATTTAACAAAACATGCTAAGTTGTGAAAAAAGTAAGAAATACTTTAATACGTGCAAGACTAAATCACCCACTGTAACAACTTGATGAGCTTGTTTCTAATTTTATTTGGATACGAAAATGGCAAACGGAGATTTCCAGCAGTAAAATATTTCACAGATTATTAAAAAAAAAAGGCTAATTGAAACAAGAATCAATGGGAATTCCAAATAAAAAAAAACGATTTGAAAAGACTATTTAGAAACATAAAATGAAAATTGCTGCCAGCATTAAAATGGTTTAATTTTAATGCTCACATCCGAGATTATAAATTAAATAGCTGGGAAAATATTTTTTGAGTAACCTTAAGGGTCAAACATTTACCAAAATGGAATGTGCCAAAGCCAAGCTAGTTGAAAAAATATTATTATCCCAATGTGCTAAAATAATATATATTCAACATTTATGAAATCGCTACCTGCTGGAACAATCTAATTGAGTCCCCCCCCCAATCAAGTTGTTCCAGCAGGTAACTAAAAACACTAATTTTGTCAGTACCATTCCTCTTGCTATAGATTACGTTATTTAATTTCGCTTTCCTGAGAACTCAATCTGTTGAAAAAGCAACTCCGTCTCTGCCGAGGGAAAGGTGCTGTCTTAAAGTGGCATTTTGATGCCGGTTAGGCATTAAGAATTTTGGGAATTGCTGGGTTGAACATTGGCAACCCTTTCCCTGTGTATAGGTTAGTTTAGGTCGGTTTTTGTTTTAGTTTTTCCCCTTTTTGCAAGTTAACTTAGCTAGGGTATGTATGCTCATTGGCCCCTTTTATTTCTGCCCATATTTCTTTCTTTCTTTCTTTTGTTTAATTCCCCATCACTTCCATCATTAGGTGGTTAGTGATGTCAGTTCTCTGGCGGGGGCGGGGCGCCTTTTATTTCGAGTGTGTTTTTCGTATTTGTTGTTGTGTTTGAATGAATGAGTGTTTGTAGTGAGTGTATGACTAGTACGAATGTTTTATATTTTTAAAGTCCCGCATTGATTTCGTCCAGCTAACTGATGTTTCTGCCACAGTTAGGGCTGTGGGGGGTTTTAGTACTAACAAAATTTTTGTTTAGTTTTCTTGTACATAGTTTTTATAAACATTTGTCATTGTGGTTTTTAGATTTTAAATTGTTATTTTTATCCCCCACCCCCAGACAATGAATTGTAAATATGAAGACTAGTTTATGACTTCATAGAGTTTCTGAGGCATTTTATTGGCTGAGGAAAGAATGGCAAGTAAGAATGCGTTGTTTTGGTGAATGGAATATTATTTGTATGTCTGGGTCAGTGATTGTGACTAACTAAGTTTAATCTTAAGACAGTTGATGACCGTCCTTTTCCCCATTTGTAGCTCTTAATAAATGTTGCCATTGTTATATCTCTATTGCACTTCTAGTTTGTGGATATCTCTTCCGGCTTCTTCCTTCCCAGTCTTTGATATTCAAAAGTTTAAATGCAATGTCCTTGATTATCTTCTGTCTTCTTATTTCTTGTTCTTTTATTGCTTTCTCTCCTTAATAGTAGTTTTTCTCATATTCTCTAACACCCAGTAACCCTCTTGCGTCCTATTGGCTTTATTGCCTTTGACCTTCAAAAATCTAAACGCAATGTCAATCGTTATCTTCTGTCTTCTTACTTATTGTTCTTTTATTGCCTTCTCTCCTTAATAGTAGTTTTTCTCATATTCTCTAACATTCAGTAACCCTCTTGCGTCTGAGTGGCTTTATTGCCTTGCTTGGGTTAATTCCGCCTGGCCCTGCTGCTCTGTTTCTGTTCGACTAGTGTTGATTTCACTTTCGATTTTAATATTTTTGGTCAGTTGATATTTATTCCCGGTTGTTTTCTTTTGTGAAGGAAGAGTTTTTCTATGTGTTCATTCCACCTCTAAAGTATTTTTATTTTTTTATTATCAGTCGATAGTACGAGACAATGGAAAGCATCAGTAGCAGCAACACTTTTGAAATTAAACAACTCATAGAATACCCGGGGCAATGTTTAGGTGTAATAGTTGCTGGAACTCAATTTAAATGGTTGCTGTCATATTTAAATATAGCCGAAGAAACCACAACCAGGTTGTAAATACCCTTACGCCAAAAGTCTGTCAGAAGACACCTAAAGTTTTAGATTTGATTTTTTTTTTCTTAAAATTTTCGTTATCAACTTTTCCGTTTATTCGCCAAGAAGTAAATCTCCTTTAATCGTACTCTGACGTTTGCGCATTATATCCGACGAGTGAATTCTCGTCGTTTGATTTTCAGTGAAAGTTGTAGTAACAGAATAACAACGCCTTAACAAGAAACCTGAATCTTGTTAGGTACACAATGAAACACTACACGCGGTTGGCGACGAGGGAGCCATTGAGAATCCCAATGGCATAAGGACAATTCCCACGCTAGTCTCCAAAATCACACACTACTGTGCGTCTGCTAATGTACGGTGAAGTGAGGTTAGGATTGAGATCTTGAGGAACCACCCTCTATTATACTCGTTTAAATTTGGTCCAGTGTGACTCTGACACTGAGACTGACCCACCTCTTTTTATGCCACAGTGGTATTGGTGGAACACGATCGTACTGCTCAAGATTCTCAGAGTACATGTTTCTTAACATCAAGTACAGCAATAATCTTTTTCCTTTTATGTGCCGTATATCTTCAGGACGTAGGCGATAATGGCTCTTCACTTCCTCCTATCTGTTGTAGCTCTCAATGAGTTTTGTCCCTTTGCTACTTTCCCCAGGCCCTGTTCTGTCATCCATTTGCTTAAGCCCGCTAGATATGTCATGCATTGCTTTCCTTTGTCTCTCTTTACTTTCTTTCCTTTTATGTACCGTGTCCCTTCAGGATGTAGGCGATCATAGCTCTCCACTTCCTCCTATAAGATCTCTCCCTTTGCTACTTCTCCCGGGCCTTGTTCTGTCATCCGTTTGCTTAAGCCCGCTAGATTTATCATGAGTTGCTTTCCGTTGTCTCATTTTCCCTCTATTCGACCTATGAGTATCAGATTCTCCAAGCCCTACTTTCTCATTACGTGTCCCAGAAATTTCGGCTGCATACGAACCCTAAATTCTTCATCATCTTTTAGCGTTGAAGGTAAGAAGAAAAATATTTCCGCAATTCTTTGATGTATATGGATGTCATGTGTCACTTGAATAGTTTTTTTTCTCAAATCAGAATCATATTTCTTACATATCTTGATATACTTGATAAGCGGACAAAAAGAAAAGCGATATCGTTTGTTGTTTTGCGTTTTACCAAACGAAAACATGTCTGATCTCTGACAAACCCGATCGAAGAGAATTATCTGCCTTTGATCAGCAGTTATTGCTTTAAAGACATTTTTTTATGATTAATCACGCGAGGGCGCTGTATTCGGGATTGCTTTTCTTCGTTTCTCTTTCTCTTCTTACCAGTTTTCCTTTTTTTTCTTTTTTTTTGGGGGGGGGTGAGGGTGGTTTATTTATTGTTTTTCACTTGAGAGTCATTATGGTATCATTTGTTTGAGAAAATGATGCTTTCATTCAACCATAATTTCCTTTTTTCTTATCTTTCTTTTTAGTTTCTTTACTTTTATTCTCTCTCTGTCCTTCCTTTTCCCATCATTTCTACGCCATCTCCCTCTTTTCTCTCTCTCTCTCTCTCTCTCTCTCTCTCTCTCTCTATCTATCTATCTATCTATCTTTATTTCTTCGTTCGTCACTTTCTCCGACTCTATATTCATTCGTCATGCTCTATTCCTTCAGCTTTATTTTCCCGCCTTCTTTCTCTTTCTATCGCACTCTTTCTGTCTCTCGCGCTATCTCTCTCTTTTCATCCTTCTCTCTTTTTTTCTCCCTTTCTATGTCTTTATGTCTACATTTCTGATTCTATTTCTTCCCCCCGTTCTATTTTCTCATATCTTTCCATCTGGCCGGCTCTCTCTCTCTCTCTCTCTCTCTCTCTCTTTTATTCTACCCGCCCCTCACTATTTCTTCCTCTCTCTATATTTCTTAATCTCTCTCCTTTAGTCCGCTCTTCTCCTCTCTCTCTCTCCCTCTCTCTCTCCCTCTCTCTCTCTCTCTCTTCATTCCTACCCGTCCCTCTCTATTTCTTCGTTTCTCAATATTTCTTAAACATTCGCCACTGTTCCGTCCTTACCTATTTCTCCTCTCTCTCTCTCACTCTCTCTCTCTCTCTCTCTCTCTCAATCTATCTTTCTCTCTCTTTCTCTCTTCATTCTTAACCGTCCCTCTCTATTTTTCCGTTTGTCTCTATTTCTTAATCTCTCTACATTGGTCCGCTCTTCTCTACTTACCTCTCTCACTCTCTCTCTCCCTCTCTAACTCTCTCTCTCTCTCTCCTCTCTTCATTCTCCACGTCTCTCTCTATTTCTTCCTTTCTCTATATTTCTTAATCTCTCTCTATTGGTCAGCTCTTCCCCTGTCTTTCTCTCTTTTCCTCCCCTCTCTCTTCATTCATACCCATCCCTATTTCTTCGTTTCTCTGTATTTCTTAATCACTCACCATTGGTCCGCTCTTCTCTATTCCCCCTCTCTCTCTCTCTCTCTCACACACACACACACACACACACACTCTCTCTCTCTCTCTCTCTCTCTCTCTCTTCATTCTTAGCCCCCTCTCCGTTTCTCTATGTTTTTTAATCATTCTCCATTGGTCCGCTCTTCTCTACTTCCCCCCCTCTCTCTCTCTCCCTCCCTCTCTTTCTTCATTCTTACCATTCCCACTCTGTTTTTCAGTTTCTCTTTATTTCTTAATCTCTCTCCATTGGTCCACTCTTCTGTACTTCCCCTCTCTCTCTCTCTTTCTCTCTCTCCCTCTATCCCTCTCTATTCATTCTTACCCGCCCTTCTCTATTTCTTCGTTTCTCTATATTTCTCTCTCCATTGGTCCGCTCTTCTTTACTTCCCCCCCTCTCTCTCTCTCTCTCTTCATTCTTACTGATCCCTCTCTATTTCTCTGTTTCTCTATATATTTCTTAATCTCTCTCCATTGGACCGCTCTTCTCTACTTCTCCCCCCCTTCTCTCTCTCTCTCTCACTTTCTCTTTCTCTCTGTCTTTCTCTTCATTCTTCCCTATTTCTTCGTCCCTTTCTATTTCTTCGTTCTAATCTCTCTTTTCTACTCTCTCGCTATCTCTTCGAGTGTTTTTTAATGTCTCCATTCATCTGCACTTCAATATTTCTTCTCTCTCTGTCTCTCTCTTTCTTTCTCTTCATTCTTCTCTATTTCTCCTCTCTCTTTTTTTTCCTTCCTATCTATTTCTACATCCCTCTCTACGTCTACATCTCTCTTTCTTTTTCCCTATCCGCTCTATTTATTCAACACTCCTTCTCCGGTTTAATCTAGATATGCCTTCCTTTCTCGCTCAGCCGAAATCTCTAGGCACGTTTATACGCCAATATATCTCTGTATCTTGTTACAAGTTAAAGTGTTGGATCTGTCTTTCCCTGAGTGTATGTCTGAAATGTTTTCCAGATAAAAGTGGAGAATGTCTTCTGATTGTAGCATCTAATCAGTACGAGGCGAATTGACACTGATGCAGAGACAGATGAAGAAACATTTTATACACCTGCGGACAGAGCATCTGATATAGTGAGATGCATGAAAGAGTCAAAATTCCCGCAGACTGCGAATCAGATATATTTAACCAGAAATGTCATATCGTTTCGAACAGAAACTTTTAGTAAACCTTCATATCGATTCAAATATTCTCGATTGTTTAACATATCAGCAGTTATTTGTCATATTATTACTGGTTTAAAATATTTGGCATAAGTTGAGATATAAGTCTTTATATAAATAAGTGGAGATATTGGTCTTTGTATAAATGTGTTGAGATATAGGTCTTTGTGTAAGTAAGTTGAGATATAGGTCTTTGTATATATAAGTGGAGATATAGATCTTTGTATAAATAAGTTGAGATATTGGTCTTTGTATAAATATGTTGAGATGTAAGTCTTTGTATAAATAAGTTGAAATATAGGTCTTTGTATAAATAAGTTGAGATATAGGTCTTTGTATAAATCGACACAAGCACTTCATAATGCTATACAAAACATCATAAGAATATAATACGCCATGTTTTATTATATAAACCCTTGTGCAAATTAATTGAAACAGCCTCTTTAGTTTCCTTTCTTTCACCATACGGTCAGTTTTAAACCCACTGGAGTCACGGGGTGTAATCGATTTCTTTTTCTTTTCTTTTTTTTTTAAGCATTCAACCCCAAACAAGGCTGGAAGCCACTAGCACGCAAGGATTTACAGAGAGTTGGAGCGAGAACAAAGAGGAGTCATAGAGGAAAGGATGAAGAGAAAGATAAGAGATAGGCCAGGGCATCTGGAGACGTCGATTGACATTACATTTGAATAGTTGAAGATTATAGCTTTCAGGAAAACAAGAAATGGGGAGAGAGTTCCACAAGCGAGAAGTGCGAGACATGAAGCTATTGGAGTAGAAGAGATGGTTACATTTAATAGTTTCGACAGCGAAAGGGTGAGAGCGAGATGCCAGCCTAGTTGAACGCTTAAATTCATGAAGTCTGGGAATCAGCAAAAGCAGCTCATCGGAGCAGTTACCGTGAAAGTATTTTTAAAAAAGACAGAGGGAGGCAACGGCACGTCTGCGAGAGAGCGACTGCAGACGATTTTCCTCAGATTAGGTCAATATGTGAGAAAATTTGAATGGCCCTTTAACTACAGAATTAATAATTATCGGAATCGGATTAAGTCGAATCCCAACAAAGATTATTACCTGTAGAACGACATTTCCGCCTAGGAAAACATGATTTTAAAAGCCATGCAAAATTCACTATCATTGAAAGAATAGAAAAAGACACAAAAGATAAACTTAGAAAAATACTAGAAGAACTTGATGACAAATGGATTTTGCGCCTCAAAACACTTTGTCCAGATAGACTTAACAACAGACTAAACAACACAGATAGAATTAATATATAATCCTTTAAATCAACCTCAACATATATTTTCCAACCACACTAGATAGACATGCTTTCAGAGGTGTCGATATTCCCACATACACACACTCACGCAGATATATACATATACACACATCACACACACACACAGAGAGAAAAAAGCTAAAAGTTAAAATCACATAACACACACATACCCTTCACAGCAACCAATAAAGCTGTTAGAATGAATCTCCCAGCTTCTCTTTAAGAAAACTTGAGAGAGGCTTTTTGACCAATACTGATTAAAATTAACGATAAAAAAAACAAATGACAACTACAGTAAAATTCACTTTCTTCAGAGACAGCCATACACACCTGTAGTTCACTGCTACTAAAAAGCAAGAATTTTTTCTCCTGATGATGGCCATGTTGGCCGAAACTCGTCGAGGAAACTATTTTAAATAATAAAACAAAATATATAAATATACAACCTAGTGTGTCTGAAATTGTACTTTTTTAACATTTTTACTGTTAAAGACACACACACACACACACACATATATATATATATATATATATATATATATGTCTTTAACAAGGAAAAACTTAACGCATCATCGAAAACACGATCATAAATTATAATTTATTTCAATTATTTAATACCCGTCTCATCTGACCGAAATTACAAATGGTTTAAATTTAAAAAATGGTTTAAATTTATATTTATCCAGAATATTTTTAAAAACAACACGCTTGATGCCCAAAATCTATATATTATGTTATTTTTCTCTATGTTCTCCCAACCAGCGCACATGAAAATCGGGTTGAACACTACCCCCCTACTGCTCCACACATGTCTTCAATATTATAAATGCACAGAAAATAGATTTTCTAGGTCAAGCGTCTAGACTTCCTGTTATGTTGTTTTTAAAAATATTCTGGATGAATTTAAATTTAAACCATTTTGTAAATTTAAACCATTTGTAATTTCGGTCTGATGAGACGGGTATTAAAATCTTACCCCTTGAAATAAATTATAATTTATAATCTTGTTTTTGGTGATGCGTTAAGTTTTTCCTCATATTGCACTGTATACTATACATTTAACTCTCTTTATGGATCTTTTTTTAATATTTCATATTAAAAAGACCAACTTGAATTATCCTTTCCACTTGCGAATTTGATATTATCTCTCTTCTCTCTCTCTCTCCTCTCTCTCTCTCTCTCTCTCTATATATATATATATATATATATATATATATATATATATATATAATCTTATAAATATAAGTAAGTATACTCAGCCGGAAAAACCTTAGGTGTATTGGCTTGTAAATGAACAAACATTTAATTTGGGCGAAAATAATCGACCAGAATCCGAGTTCAGAGTCCAAGGAAAAAAACCTCCGACACGAGTAAACGACACGAGTAAAATAAAAATAACTCAGCAAATACGTTCCGCGTAGGTGAAACCTATATATATATATATATATATATATATATATATATATATATATATATATATATATATATATATATATCCGTGGCATTAGGACAAACTTCTGCAGTCTGGAATCTTTCCTCGCTGCAAACGGCCCGGATATACTGGCTCTCTGTGAGACAAACCTTGTCTCGTCTATCCCCTCTTCTGATCTCTCGATCCCCGGCTACCTTCCTCTCCTCAGAAAAGACTCTCTAACCCACATGCACGGTCTTTGTGTCTACGTCAAGGACCATCTCCTTTTGGCCAGAGAGTTCTCTCTCGAATCGCCAGACCAGTCATACATGTGTCTCCGACTCTCTCTCCTCAATGCGGTAAGCTATCTCTTCTTCCTTTACCGCTCTCCATCCTCTCAAGACTGTGAGATACACGATAGCATTTCTGACAGCATAGACAAGGCTCTCTCCCTCCATCCGTTTGCTCACATGGTGACTTTAACGCCCATCACACCTTGTGGCTTAAGAATACTACTACTGACCAGGCAGGCAATCAAACGCTCAATTTCTCAATCTCTCATTCCCTCACACAGATAGTTAACTTCCCCGCTCGTTTTGCCTTCAACCGAGAAGGTAAAGCCTCTCTTCTCGACCTGTGCTTTACCTCCATCCCCGAATCCTGCAGCGCCTCGCAACTCTGCTCTCTTGGTAACTCTGATCATGCAGTAGTATCTGCTTACATCTCCTTCAACTCCACCCCCTATAAAGAACCTCCTACCACTAGAACTTCGTTCTACTATCAACGAGCTGACTGGGACGCGTTCCGTGATTTCCTCCGCGATGTCCCCTGGGATGGAGTCTTTAAGCTCCCCGTCCAAGAATGTGCTTCTGGGGCCTCTTCCTGGGTTAAAGCTGGAATCGACGCTTTCATCCCATCAAGGAAATATAGGGTCAAGTCGCGCTTTTCCCCCTGGTTCTCCGCTGCTTGCTCAGCCGCCATCGCCCATAGGAACCACTACTTTCACCTATTCCGTAGCGACATGTAGACTGCAATAGAAGTCTCTTTGCCTCCGCCCGTAACGAGTGTAAGCGTGTCCTCAACGATGCTAAGTCACTATTTGCGGCTCGGATAAAGGAACGTATTGCATCTCGCAAATTTGGCTCCAAAGATTATTGGCGTCTCTGCAAGACCGTATTGAACAATTGAAAACCCTCTATACCTCCTTTATTCAACCAGTTCGAAGTCCTGACCTCCTCTACCGACAAGGCTGAATGCTTTGCTCGGAAATTTTCATTCAACTCGACGCTCGACTCTTCCGGTGTACCCATACCCGACTTCCCTCTTAGAACTGAGGCCATATTGAGGGTTAAACATAACCCCATCTTTGGTACTGGGCGTTATCTCCAATTTAGACCCCAACAAGGCTAGTGGTAGAGACGGGATACCAGCCATTGTCTTGAAAAATTCGCGCCTGAACTGGCGCCCGCCCTTTCGAAACTATACAACTACTGCCTCAAGGAATCTTGTTTTCCTGACTGCTGGAAGTCCTCTTCGATCGTTCCTGTCTTCAAGAACTCCGGCGACCCCTCTGACCCTTTCAACTACCGTCTTATCAGTCCTCTTCGGCAAAGTCTTCGAAGCCCTAATCAATACCGAGGTGGTTAACCACCTCACATCCCATATTCTGCTCTCAGACAAGCAATATGGTTTCCGCTTTGCCCGATCTACAGCTGATGTGCTTATGGCCATCACTGAAACTGTCTACCGAGCTCTTCAAAATAACGGGGAAGCCCGTGCCGTGACACTAGACATCTCCAAAGCATTTGATAGGGTTTGGCACGCCGGCCTTCTTCGCAAGCTCCAGGGTTATGGCATTACTGGTCGATTATATAACCTAATACAATCATTCCTGTCAAACCGTGAACTGAAGGTCGTTCTCAACGGATTCTCATCCAGTTCCTATCCCACGAACGCAGGTGTTCCTCAAGGCTCCATCCCAGGTCCAACTCTATTCCTTATCTACATAAATGATCTTCCTGACGCCATAACTTCCCAAGTTGGCATCTACGCGGATGACACCACAATTTATTCCTGCCTCAAAAACAAATCTAGTCTCACTGACAAAACTAACCTGGCCGTGCGTCTCGAAAGGGACCTCCAATCGATTGTGAACTGGGGCAAGAATTGGCTGGTCAACTTCAACGCTTCTAAGACGAAACTGCTGTCTATTAATCACCACAGAGATCCTTACCTTTCCTCCATTAGAATCTGACGCTCAACTTCTCGAGAGCAACTCTCTGCGGCTTCTCGGTCTCACGTTGACTACTGACCTGAGATGGAATAAATACATTGAGTCAATTGCCTCGTCCACCGCAAGGAAAGTTGGCTCCTTGAGCCGCGCCAGGAAGTTTTTCTCCCCGGAGTCGATACTCCAGATCTACAAATCAACAATTCGCCCTTGCATAGAGTATTGCTGCCATATATGGTCTGGTGCCCCTTCTGTTTGCCTCGGGGTTCTTGATAGGCTCCAGAGGCGGATATGCAATGTAGTTGGCCCTGCTCTGGCATCTCGTCTACATTCACTTTCTCACAGACGTGCCGTCGCCTCCCTCTTTCTGTTCTACAAATACTTTCATGGCAATTGCTCCGAGGAGCTGCATTCGCTGGTTCCCAGACGTCATGAGTTCAAGCGCCATACGAGGCTGGCATCCCGCTCTCACCCCTTCACTGTCGAAACTCCTAAATGTAGCCGTCTCTTCTACTCCAATAGCTTCATGTCTCGCACCTCCCTTCCCTATTCCTGTTTTCCTGTGAGCTATAATCTCCAGCTATTCAAATGTAATGTCAATCGACATCTCCAGTTGCCTTGATCTATCCACTACCCTCATCCTTTCTTCTATCACTCCTATCTGATCTTGCTCTAAATTTTCTGTAACCCCTTGCGTCCTAGTGGCTTCCCGCCTTGCTTGGGTGAAATGCTTAATATATATATATATATATATATATATATATATATATATATATATATATATATATATATATAGCATAATGAGAAGCCACGTATTTTACTTCCACATTCACACGCAGAAAAAAAGAAACATATTGGATTTTAAATACACATAAACTTGGGTTGAATAGGGACTTAGGTGTTTTAAATCTTTATAAATATTTCAAGAGTTAAGCAATTTTTTTTAGATATAGTAAAAAAATTTTTTTTAAACAACATTTAAAATATTTATGACAGTTAGATTTAAGTTAGGAATATCCGAACAGTGACGTTCCATATCACGTGACATTCGCGTCTCGCGAAGGACGCTACTTGCTAACAAACAGTAATTTTAATTTATTTGTAACAAACAGTTATTTCTGATGAAAAATTGAGGACAATTTGAAATATCAAATATATATATAAATAAATAAATACTTTCATAAAATAAAACATTATCATTTTTTAATTTTAAACTTTTTCTATATATATATATATATATAAAACAAAAAATTATATATATATATACATATAAAACAAAATTATACTGTAACATAGAATGAGGAAAGACAGTTTAGATAATTTGACACTCGCAGGCCATATTAAGGTAACAAAGTAAAGGAGCCTGTAAACTACCTCACGAGCGTGTGTAAATGTGTGATAGGGAATTTGAGGGATTGTTAGGAGACAAAAATCGTTTAGAGCTACAAAGGATATGAAAATGTGAAGAGCCATGATCGCCCGCGTCATGAACGGATACAGACCATAAAAGAAAGCAGTCTAAAACGCTGTTTGATTCTATTGTGTTGCACACCCACACATCAGCAGTTCATTTGTTTCGACGGTATTTTTAGGAGAATCCTTCATCAGAACCATCAGATTGTTGATCGATTGATTGATTAGTTTTCCGTGGCTTATCAACCATTTTCAGGTTATTTAAAGCCATAAAATATTTTCAGACTGTAAGATTATTTTTTTTCCTTTTTGAAGATAACAATGATTTATTGATACAAGTCTTTCTAATTGCCATAGCTGTGGGAAGAAGAGGAGGATTCATACCTTCCCCAAGGATATTTGCGCGTAAGTGACTATAACGAACTGAATGACAATGAGAAATCGGCTCTTCTGTAAAAATTCCGAGTTGTTTATCAATTATATTACCCGCACATCTAAGTTAACAGCACTTGGCATCACCAAGTGGTCACCCATTTATGTACTGACCAGGCTCGACGTTGATTAACTTCGACGATCGTACGGGAACTGGTGTTTCAACGTGATATGGCCGTAAGCCTGACCTTCCAACCACCTTAAGAAGGCCTTAGCGTACAACGGCCGAAACGTTGTAATAAATATGGCCACAAAGATGAGGACAATAGTCCGAATAATGTAAATAATGTACATAATACCTCATCTCAGAAATATAGACAGATACTGAAAGGCCGAAACGTTGTAATAAATATGGCGACAAAGATGAGGACAATAGTCTGAATAATGTAAATAATGTACATAATACTTCATCTCAGAAATATAGACAGATACCGAAAGGCCAAAACGTTGTAATAAATATGGCCACAAAGATGAGAACAATAGTCCGAAAAATGTAAATAATTTACATAATACCTCATCTCAGAAATATAGACAGATACCAGAAGAGACATAAAGGGTTAAGTTCGACCTTCCAACCACCTGAAGAAGGCCTTAGCGTACAACGGCCGAAACGTTGTAATAAATATGGCTACAAAGATGAGGACAATAGTCCGAATAATGTAAATAGTGTACATAATACCTCATCTCAGAAATATAGGCAGATATTGAAAGGACTGAATGTTGTAATAAATATGGCAGCAAAGATGAGAACAATAGTCCGAATTATGTAAATAATGTACATAATACCTTATCTCAGAAATATAGACAGATACTGAAAGGCCGAAACTTTATAATAAATATGGCGACAAAGATGAGAACTATAGTCCGAATAATGTAAATAATGTACATATTACCTCATCTCAGAAATATAGACAGATACTGAAAGGTCGAAACGTTATAATAAATATGGCGACAAAGATGAGAACAATAGTCCGAATAATGTAAATAATGTACATAATACCTCATCTCAGAAATATAGACAGATACCAGAAGAGAAAATAATGCTATAGCCGAGATGTTAACTTTCCAAGCGACATAAAACTAAAGGTTTGGAAGGAAACTCCTATCAGTACGAGAAAGAGTGGCGATAGCTAGTGAACACGAAAAGTCTAATTTCCTGAAAATAAAATTTAAGAAAAAGATTTTACAAATTCCCACCTACAGTAATGTTAACTTTTCGGTCAATGAACGCCATTTGTTTCCAGCATGGAAACGAATAATTTTATGATTAAAATTACTATTACATCTTAAAAGAAAATGAACAGAGAATAGTTGTTTTCAAGACTTCGATTGAAAGGTCTGTTAGTCTGTTTAAAAAATTATCATTCAAAAACCAATCTTTAACTTGGACTCGAACGCTGACCTCTGATACCTATCGGGTATAAGTCACTGTTTTCGCCACGTATTTAGACACTGTTCTTTTGTTTCCTCTTTTAAAAAAAAAAAAAAAACTTCATACCAGAAAATGGAATAAAGAGTAACCTACATTTCCAGTTGAAAGGGACAATGGAAGATGGAATCACCTTTTACCTTCAGAGAACACACTTCCTCATAAACCGCAAATCAAATTAACTTCGACGATAAACAGCCAAATGTTCAATTAACGGATTCTCTTTCCTGTTTCATTTCAGTAGGAACGTGATATAAGGCTCGTGAAGAGTGTTTAAATGTCCAACTTGCCCGGGCAAAGGTTGTACCTAACGATGTTAGCTTCGATCGGTCATGAACCAAGAACTTTGTTGATTTAAATATCGTCTTCCTTAAGTACTGGAGCTTTAACCGTAAAAAAAATTCTGGCTGTAAAAAAAGTTTACACGCATTTTGTCCGGACTGAGATCTTCTATGCTAAATGTGATTACCTGCGAAAACGTTAAAGATAAAGACGGAGCAAGTTAGATACATTCCCCTGGGATAGAAGTAACGTATCGGGAGATTATCGACAAAGATTTGACAAATGGCAAATGCTTTCGTCGGCAGCTGAAGGCGCGATGTTAAAGACTGGTAATAATCGGAAACTGACAAGGACTATAATTCAGAAGCTTTCATTTATATTCTTTCTTTTTTTTTTTCTTTCTTTCTTGTTCTTTGATCATTTTACGTTTAACATTCCTTTCTTGTGATTGCTCCTATCTTTTGCTGCTTCGGCTGTTGTCAACACTTTTTCCAAAATTTTAAAACTTAGTTTTATTTTACGGAGGGAGTGCTGAAAAAATATTAGACCAACCAAGATGTCCTTCAAAAGCAAAAAAAAAAAAATGTAATATCGTCTGATCATTTGATTAGACTTTGTGAAAATAGTTCATGGCGAGAACTTGTAAGCACCCTCCATTGTAGAATCTCAATTGAAAAGATTTGGATACTTCTTATTTTTTCTTCTGGTCGACGTGACATTCCACATTACTTCAAATAAAATGTCAATATACACAGAGGAGAATCAAACCTTACAGAACAAAGATTTTCTTTCTTTAATATCTCGAATCCACGGACTGATAGAGACTTTTTAAAATTGGGTCATCTACTAAAATCCGCTAAAATAACGTTTGGCGTCATAAGTAACAACATCATCATCATCATCATACGAACGTAGTCGGGATTATGGAGTCAATGCAAACGATCCTTTCTTTAACTATGTAATATGTGCTACATACAGTCTTGAATTTCACCTAGATCGTTTACCCCTAAATCTATAGAACCCAGTCTGTCCTGCTTTTTACCCAAAGCTGGTGGGAGAAGAAGAGGAATCATACCTTTCCGAAGAGTATTAGCCCGTAAGTGAATGTAATGGATCCTTATATATATATATATATATATATATATATATATATATATATAAACTATGAACCTAAAGAGCCAGGCAAACCTACCTAGGTTTCACCTACTCGGAAAAGAGATTATTTAGTTACTTCTGCTTTACTCATGTTGGAGTTTTTTTCTTTGGACTCTGAGATTGGATTCTGGACGATTGTTTTTGACTCAATTACATGTTCTTAGTTCTTTCTTTTTATCCCTTATTTTTCATTGGGTATTGGTTTGTCCATTTATAAGCCAAAACACCTCAGGTTTTTTCCAAGCGAGTATAACTACTTATATTTATAATATTATATATATATATATATATATATATTGTCATCCACAAACAGACTGTTTCGCAGTATTACAGCGCATCAGTGTGGCTAGACCTCCAGTTGCCTCTAGCTAGGATCGGAACCCGGCTGTCAGTCGCGGATTCTACCACTATATATTTTTCTTCTTCCTCTTTTTTATTTTAGGGTTGCCTTCTCATTAGTTCAGAGAGAAGTAAAGAGGGATTTAAAAAGATGGAGAGAAAAGGATAAAGGTTTTAATAGAAGACGAATTCCTTATTTTAATTTGAATCCTTTTAATTTTGTTTATATGTTTTACTTTCGTATTTTATTTTTACTTTTTTTTCAGGATTGCACTACAAATCTTTTAAATAATCAATTGAATAAATAAATAGTGTTTAAAATTTATGTTATCAAATCACAAGAAAAAAGTACAAACTGTATACGTTATGGTTTTATTAAAAATCTAAAAATAGCTTTTTACAACAATAAAAAAATACCGAGAGAGTATACGGTTATAACAGGTTTAAAAGAAAAGTGACCTTTCGACTGTTCTTTCTTCCTGGTTTTAAGTTAAACATTACCAGTTGTATTTTAGGATTTATAGCATTTTTTTTCACAGAAATGTCGTGACTATTTCTTACAGAAAATGATTAGTACAGAGCAACCCCATTTCTCGAATGTCCCACATGTCGAACAAATCGGTTTTCGAACAGAATATTCGAAATAAAAAGCCTCAGTTATCAAGCAATTTTTCAGTTCCCGAACATTGCCGAACCTATCCGAACCGATCCGAACAAAACCGAGTTTAGCCGAACAGAATCATTTCTGAGTCAACCATCTGGTTATATACATTGTGTTGTGCTGTGTTTTTCTTTTCCAATTTTATCGTACTGTTCTTTTTTTTCTATTCATTAGTCGTCAGTCATGACTCCAAAGAAAGCTAGCAGTGATACTGTTAAAGGAAAAAGAAAACTTAAGAGAAAAACAATTGTTGTTGATATTGTCTCTATGATGATGATGATGTTGTCTCTATGATGATGATGATATTCTCTCTTCCTACTCAGTTTCATAGGGCAAAATCAACGATCTATACTATTCTTATAAAGAGACGATCATGACTTTCCTTCTCCTTTTCCAAACAATAACATCTTTTTCCTTCCCCTTCCACAGGCGCCATCAACTCCCCTACATACAGGCACGGTAAAATTGAATTGTTCGTCTATATTTATCTGTTTAGTATTTTGTTTTTTTTTTCTTTCTTGTGTCGGAAACCTACCACCCCTCTTGAAGATGAACTTGTCTGCGTCTGTGAACAGAGGCTTTAAATAATGAGAAGAGAGATAGAGAGAGAAGTTCTTAGCTGAGCTAGTTATTGACTACTCAGGCGATTTCTGTACCTTTTTACCAACCTATTAAAACCCTTTTTATTGTTACGTGATGTTTGGCGTTTGTCTCTACTAACCCCAAATCAACATCATGACATCTTAGATTTAATGATTTTCATCAGGTTTATGTATTATGATTTTCATTAGATTTGTATATAAACTTACGCACAAAGTCATGTTGTTAAAGTTTAAATAAGCAATCATCTTGGGAGCAGGAACGGATTAATCCATTTCATATAGATTCCTATTGGAAAAAGGGTTTCGGTTTACGAACATTTACGAACGAATTAAATTCGTGAACTGTAGTTAATTGAGTCTATTTTATTTGTTTACAATACCACTCGGACGATGGATTCTGTTGTGTTTCTCGTGTGCGCCACTTTCAATAATAATCGAGTTACATCGAAATCAGTCTTTTCCTTGGAGCCATTTTTTCTTCATTATCGAACGTGCATTGAACGCAGAACTTTTCATTATACCACACGGCTACGAAAAGTCAGAAAATACGCCTACCGAAATGTTAGCATGTAAACCATAAAGATTATGAGTTCTCGTTTTAAAAGATCGTTGAATGATAATGTTGGATCCCAGAATCTCAGACAATAAAACCATGTCCCGATTTTACAAGATGCAAAGCTGATACGAAGTAAGCCTTGCAACACAAGATAACA